TGAATCGATTAAAAACATTGGTGCTTTCATTATCAAATTAGAAAACTCGAACTATAGATTCATACTAATGGATTCCGAGCAAAATCCAATTTCTATATAATTATTATAACACGTAGAAAAGGAAAATGATCATTCAAACTATAGTAATGCTGAAACATCATACCCGAAGGTACTAATTCGTTAATACTTTTAAAGAAAAATCATAACTTGAAAATGAAATAACCACTTGCACCTTTATCTACCTTGATTTTTCTTGAAGTACAAAGGAACAAAATATGTAAAAGTCTTTCTCATTCACACTCTTGCTATTCACTTAAGCTTAACTTAGTATAAGAGGTATTTATGAGAGAAAATAAGAGTAAATTTGAATTTGAGGAAAGACGTAATGAAAAAGTGACTTTTCTTTTCTTGTAATCCCTTTTTTTATTGAAAAATTAAATGGGAAAGTTATGTTATAATTAACCTTGTTAAATTGAGTCTTTAACTAAAAATTTAAATAGTATTAATTCATGAAAATGATTTTAATAAAAAGTTTATAAAACATTTACATAATGAAAAATAGAGGAAAATAAACTATTCATATGATTTGTAACTTATCTCTATGAATGCCCACTAATAAAAGTTGGAAAAATTATTTCATCCAATTAACTTGATATAATTGTTCCTTAAGTGCAAAATGATGAGTTCTTAACTCAAAAATAATTTTATAAAAATATTAATCTCGTAAAAGTATTTTATAAAAACATCTACGTGGTAATTTAAATCTGAGTTGTTTATGTAAAATACAATGCAGATGACTATTGTGAGAACACAATTATTCATTAAATCTTTATAATAAAGTTTACCTAAACTTAATATTTTATATTATTGGGTTTTAAATAACTTATGACTTGGGCTTTTACTACCTTAATTGGAAGAGCTAGCTTGTTTCTTAAATGGACAACATGAACCAGCTTAAGAACATAAAATTCGGGACCTTATATTTTAATTACATAGCTAATAATTGAATTTATGTGTGATTTTTATTGAATTCGAAAGAAATAATAAGAATATAGTAGTTATAACAATTGTTGTGAGGTACTTTAGAGTATATAGAGATATACCAGTAATCCTCACATAATTTAATGGGTATTCTTGTGTTTTATTGGATAATTATATATTCACTTCTTTCATAAAGATATGGAAGTGTTACCGGCGAGTATAGTTTTAATTCGACTCGAGAGAGCTTTTTAAACAAAATATGAACATTGATAAACAAGAATAACCAGGCGTTGCTATGGTCTTGAGTTGTATTAAAATGAAATAATAAAGAGGGATTCGAATTTTTGGTGAGTGTTTTAATCGATTTTACAAATGCTTCTTAGCTCCTCATTTGTTTAGTTCATTTACATAATCACAAAATGACTATCTGCTTGGAGTTAATATTACTTAAATTTAAATTAGGTACACTGTTTTTTCTTTTTTTGGGGGAAACGATACGTTTATCCACTACTGTACTATTTGACTACGATATTGTACACTTGCAAAGATTAGCCGATAAAAAATGAAGAGAAAGAATTAGGATGACAATTCACTGGTATCACTGATATACAAACAACAATTCGGGATGAGATTATCTTCGTGTCTTAAAACTTCAAAAACTTCTATGTGCACTTGAAAATTATTGTTTAGTTTGATCCAATGGCCAAAGTTTGTCCTTTTATAGCACGATTTTCAGACTAGGATTGATCCAACTACCCAATCCAATTCCGGGACGCAGATTAAAGGCTCAAGTACCACGGACGCTGTGTTTACGGGTTCTGACGGATAGTGATTAAACAAGCTGGCCGGGGCCCACTATCATTATTTCATTGGCTTCTTTCCACAAATAATTATGTGCCATCTAATTCCTTACAATTGCCATAAATTGTTTCACCGAGCCTTGTTTGGCCTCCTTTAAAATTTTTTAATTTAATTTAAAATTTTTCTTCTACTTTTAGCTATACAATCTTTAATAAAATAATATTACATACAAAACGAAAAGTTTTCATTCTTTTACAACCATCCATATAAAAAAAAAGAAAAATACTATTCCTCTATTATAAACCCAAATAATGGGGGCCAAACGGGGGCTTCCCTTATTTGTTATTTATTTTATTTATTACAGACTATGATATTAATGAGTATATTTTGAATAGGATAAAATGATTTTGGTAATATTAATGATCTATGTTTTAGCTGAATATGTTAGTTAATAAAAGGGACAATTTCTCATTTATAATTTTTTTTTTTTTGGTCCGTAGATTTTTAGACAATTGTCATCTCTTTACAAAAGAGTCACATTATTTTTTTCCGAGTAACACCATCGTATGATTATCACATTTGGGACCACAACATCTTCTGTAAATTCAATTCAATTTGATCTCCATCACATGTTTTATTGTTGAATATATTTTTTTTTTGATATCCAGATATCCCAATTTACACCAGACTAAATCCTGGACTTCCAAGACTCATGCTCCTAGAACCTTGGAGGGGATAAATCGCGGGTTATACCTCAACTGGATCACAGGTTCCCTCCATTGACTGTACACTTCTGCGTACAAGAGACCCTCCTCCACAGTGATTGCTTCATACCAAATTTTTGGCCGCAGGTTCCCACCAGGAATCGAACTCTCCACCCTGCCGCTGGAAGCAAGCCAATGTTGATTGATCCACCAGTTGGGCTGTGCCCCGGAGAGCATTTTATTTTTGAATTTTTGTTCTTATAAGACAATGAATAAGCATTGTGATCACATTTGAATAATGTGTATTGTTCGATAAAATTTTGCAAACAATGTTGTGTTAAAATTAATGCACCAAAATCTGTCAACTCACATGAACGAAAATCAAGGTGTCAACCTTGGCGTACATATAGCATGGTTGTTATCATGTTTCCAATTTCGAAAATCGAAACCAAGGCTATGAATTTTTTGACGAATAGGATAAAAAATCATTACTCTTTCAACACAACACAAGGAATTTTCTACACTCCTTTCTTGTGTTGAAGACTAGGAAGATGAATAATCCCTCGTAGAATTATTTGCTTCTTGCTTACATATGCAAATATCTGGTCCAATTTTATGACATTGAAATCTGACAATAGTATCATAGCCGCACCACTTCAATTTGGCTGTATCTTGAAAATTGATAACCCAATTTTATCGAATCATCTCCCAAGTTTAAGTTAAACATATTCTAAACACGACATGGTAATATTCCTATTCCAAATTCAAAAGCAATAATGTATTAATGTACACGATTATCTAGATGATTGCACGTGTCATACATATTATTCTTAGTATGTATTGCCTGCATGTTAACCTCAAAAGTTCTAATATGATTATGAACCTCTCAGAAACATATAAACTAATTACCTAAATATTATGCAAACATTTAAATAATTTAACAAGGTATACAAGATCAATTAAGAACAAAAATTAACAAAACTACTTGCTCTTTAAATTAAAATAGTCAAATAACAAGATTTATCTTCATCCAACACAAAAAGATCAAGCTAGAATGTTTTCAATGATAATTCAACAAGAATGGAAAGTCATCACCCGAAATATATATGAATACAAGAAATATATGGGATTATTTTCTTGTTCTTGATCTTCAATCTCAAGCCTTGATTCTTCACCTTTTGATGGATTCCTTGCTAGGTTGGTTATTCTTCTTGTAGTGAATTGGTCTCTTCTAATTGAAAGATTTGTATGTTATGATATGATATGAGAGAGGTATGAGAGGTGCCTCCAATGTTGGCTCTTGTTTTGTACTTAAGGTGGTTATACTTAAGTCAAGAATTGCATCGAAAGTGATTTTCAAGAGGACGTTGTATCAAAATAGGAAACAAAATAAATTTTTGTCTCATATAACCATAATATCACATGGTACAAATCATTGTAATCGCATGATTGTAAACCAAATATTCTTATTCTTGAAATTGATCCCTTGCTATCGCATGGTTATAAATTCACATAATTGTCTTATAATTTTTAGCATCTTCTGTATTTATTCAAGCCGATTCCTATTTTTTCTCATTTGTTTCACTTGATCCTTTCTTTGTGCAATGTTCATCATTTATCTTCTAATTTCATCCGTTTGTTTCTTTTTCATTCTTAATCATCGTCTCTGAGAATTAACTTTTGAATATTTTTAGTTTGGTCCCTGAACTTTGAAATTCTTCATTTTTGCCGATTTTTGTTCATTTTTTCCAAATTTACTTTCACTAATAATGTTTTACCTAATAAACAATATGTACAAGAGATTAAGCCATAATTCACTAAAAGTACTCCCAAATTTCATATATAACTGCCTAAATAAGTACATAAATTGTAATTATCAAACATCCAAAATTTAAATATTTATATATCCCCAAGCAAAGCTATAAACATATTTAACAAGAAAGAATGCAACAACTATTGTCAGATAATCTGTCGTTTATCTCAAGATACGTATCATTGTGTTAAAGATAATTGTAGTAAAAATCACAAACCTTTGAAATACTATCAAGTTTTCCCCAAATCCTTGATTTGTTGCAGTCGTTACTTTTAACCTTTTCAAACGTTGCAGGTGAATACCTTTTAGATAGTTTTTATCCGCAATTCTATCAGTTGACCAAAATTTTAATTTTGACCACATTTTAATATTTTGAAGGGGGAGAAAAAGTGACTTTTCATTTATCACAATAAATAATCAAATTAAAAAATAAAAGATAAAACATAGATACAAATTTCATCAATTTTTAAAAAAATTACAAAAAATTTGGGTCCTATCCGGTAGTGATTATAAAAATTGATTTTTTGACGGTTAGAGAAAAAAGTGAGTTTCACGTGTGAGTCAAGAAGTAAAAAATGCTATTTGGAACAGTGAAATAACGGTATAATAACATCTACTTTTCTATTACTGTTTCAGACTTTCAGCAAGTATATAAATACAACATCCTGTACGTATTCTTTAGTCAAATTTTCAGCAAAAATTATGTCGTCTCCTTTCAAGCCAGTTTTGACTCTATTTACCATTCTTCAAGTTTTGATGTGCAGTAATAAAGCAGAAGCAGAAGCTAGAAGCTTAAGCAAGAAAACTAGGCCATTCAATAATTCGATCCCAGCAGTTTTTGTATTTGGAGATTCCACAGTTGATTCTGGCAACAATAATTATTGGATAACTCCTTTTAAAAGCAATTTTCCGCCTTATGGAATGGATTTCATCGACCACATTCCCACAGGAAGATTTTCCAATGGCCGCCTTGTCACTGATTTTATGGGTAACTAATTATTTTCTCTGCTTAATCTAGTATTATTGTGTATCTTTATGTGTTTGTTTTGTAAACAGTTTCATACTTGGGGATCAAAGAGTGTGTACCGCCGTATTTGGACCCAACACTAAGCCTGGAGGAGTTGATGACTGGAGTTTCTTTTGCCTCCGCCAACTCCGGATTCGATCCCCTCACACCTACCCTAAACGTGCGTCTCTTTCTCTCATATATTTCCTTTTTCTCGTGAAATTATTGGAGATGGAAATTAGTAGGTGCACGTCGATATCCCAACTAAAATGACTTTGCATGAAATCCAACATATGGCATTGTTCTTACTCAAGTCTGAAGATAATGATTGTCCATCTTATTTTCATGGCATATAATGTAAGATTAGTAATTTTGAATACCAGTTAACGTGACGATATAGTGACACTTTAATTAAATTTTTGTTTTTAAACATATTCTTATAAATTGCTGTTTCTTAGTTATTAGTGAAAACATTCTGACGAGAATTACATCTTGCCAGAACATGCATTTGTCTGCTTTATGTTTGCATGTACCAGAATATAAAAAAAAAAAAAAAAAACATAAATAAAACATCTCCTATTTATTTTGGTTTCATTTTCTTACGTCGTTTTTCCTTTTTTCTCTTTTCTACTCTTTTAATTCATTTTATTTTCTTAATAATAGTTCGAAATGTGTTGATTTTGGTTGATTTGTCATTTTGACAGAGCGTAATTTCCATGCAAAAACAACTGGAATATTTTAAAGAATACAAAACACGACTTGAGCTCGCGATTGGGAAGGAAAGAACAAACAATCTGATAAACAAAGCCGTGTTTGTTATAAGCTGTGGCACAAACGACTTTGTGATCACTTATTACGGCAGCCCGTTTCGACGACAAATGTACACTGTCTCTGGCTACCAGCAATTCTTATTGCAACATGTTCAACAGTTCTTACAGGTATGTTTCCCCTAGCATTATTAAAGTTGACAAGTAAAAGTCATTTCAGAAATGCTGTTTGTACACCCCGAACTGTACAACTCGGGCTACAGCCCCCTCACAAAAGGGGGGGGGGGCTCGCAAATTTCTTATTGCGCGTAGGCCCCCCGAGCTGTGAGAGGGCTGTAAACGGTGCTGCGTGCACAACACTGCCCAAGCCATTTTCGTCCAAATAGCACCCGGGCTCTCCATAAATTTGTTATGGATTAATCCGTTTGTACGAGGATCCTATACAAACAGATTTACGAGTGCTACGCTGGAAGCATTTGTGGATTTTTATTATTTTGCCAACAGCCAATAAAAAATTATCAATCTTGTCAAATTTCCATGAGCACGTAGCGTTTCTCATTTGTTATTGTTGGGAGACATGGGTACACCGTATGCTATGAACTTGTCTGGAGATTTGACTGATCTAACCTTTTGAAATATTCCATTTCGGGTGGGATTGGTCTCCAAATTTGAAAAGAAAATTTATTGCATGGTGGACCAATAAATTGAATCATATTTAATGAGTTCTTTTGCAGTTCAGATGGGGTTGTGTTGTGGCGTCAGTATCCCCACACAGGTGATCTAGTAAAATGACTAATGACGTTCTATTGGCCTACTTCAAATTTATGAGGTGGGACTATAAAGTTGGTGCCACACTTTAAATTATTCGTAAAGATTAAGAGTGCATTTAATTTTTTGTTTTCACACTGTTTTTAGTTTTACAAAATACTGAAAATGTGTTTAATCTTTTTTTTTTTTTTTTTTTTTTTTGAAAATGCATTTTTGAAATCAATGACAAATTTATAACATAAAAAGATAATTAGCACAAAACGTCTTTAACTTTTAACGTTATAGTGTAAAACATCCATATCTTTCATTTTGTGGTATTTTCCCCTTATTTTCACCTTTCATTTGGGAAAACATGATTTTCATCCTATTTCTTAATATAAAAAAAATGTAAAATGACAAATATACCCTCCTATTTAAATTTTAAAAAAAGGAAGAAAAGTTAAAGATTAATTGCAATCACACACCCGAACTTTTTAAAAAAGTGTAATTGAGTCCAAATAAATTATTAAAAGGGTAATTAGCCCAAAACATCCCCACTTTTCAACATTATTGTGCAAAACATCCATACGTTTCAGTTTTTGACATTTACACTCTTATTTTCTCATTTCAATGCAAAAATCATTATTTTCATTAATTTTCTCAATTAAAAGATGTTAAATGACAAATATAAAGTTTTAAAATTTTCTATATAAATAAAAATCATAAAAATAAAATTAGCTTAAGCACTTAAGGATTATTTATATAAAAATTCTAATATAAGTATTTAAGTAAATATAAATAAAAATATTCTTAGTTCACGTCATTAAATATTTTTATTTCCTATATTTCAAACTTAATTTATTATTCATTTTTATATTAAATTTTAATGAAAAATGTTGACGTCTACAATCGTAAAGACTATTGCAAGCCAACTTTTCATTTTGTTGGGGAATCTCCTTAGTGTTGATTCTCTTCCTAGTTCTATCATTGAAGATATGTTTTGCTTGTCCTTCTTTTGCAAGGCCTCCCTCTCGTGGGGAGGGCTTCTTACTATTTATAGGAAGCTTCTAACTAGAATAGTGTCATGTCAATCAAATCAGCTGCTGTGATAAGCTTGGGTAGTGCACCACTGATCTTCCCTTTGGTTGGATGACGAAGTCGGTAGCCATCTTTTGAATGTTCCCTCAAGTAATGACGACCTGCCATGGATGAAGGAACTATGGTAGTCGATTTGTGGAATTGGGCAGTGCTGATGTCATTCCTTCCAAAATTTGCCTATTCAACTGGGTGATTTGACAAGTCGCAGGAACCTGTAATCATGATGTCTGTTGAGATTACGGTGGTGGTCTTCTCAAGCTGACCTGAATTTTCGATCTAGGAAGTTAGGGTAGAGGGGATTAGGTGCAGCTTAAATGCGTTCAAAGATCAAAACAAACAATTACCCCCAAGTGAGGGTGTCCTTATGGGACAAACTGACTTTTGGTCCTCCTTTACTTTGAATGCCAGGTGTCATGATCCTGTTGGGGGTGAGCTATCATGCACTCTTTATTTCCTTCTTTTAGAAGCTTGGCAAAACTACATAGTTTTGATGTAGACAATTAGGGCCCTTCATTTTCCATATCTTTTTCAATCAATGACTCAGATGGCATCTTTTTGCCTTTGGACCCTTTAAACGTCCTTTTTTTTCCTTTTCACCTTCACTTTGCCTTCGTATTATATCCTTTCTCACGGGAGCAAGAAAACGTCCTTAAGCGTCTTTTCCTTTAGAGTGAGATCTTCCCCTTCAGATCTATAGGTATTCATCTTCCCAAAAAATACCTATTATTACTTTGCTCACTCATTTTCTTTGGGTTAGTACATGAGCTCGGACGAGTCTAGGATTCGATCTTGGGGTAATCAGCAGGAAGTATCGGTCCCCTCTACCTCCAGTTCTTCTTCAAATTGTTGAGAAATTTTCACTCCTGTCCCCATTTCTATGGTGAACCTCGTAGACTTAGCTTGTCCTGTAGATTTGGAGCCCGACCTTGAAGGTTCTATGGGTGAGGAGATTGGGTCACGTAGGGGGTAGCGAGAGAGATGGATTTGAATAGGGGACGAGCTCATACTAGTTAGTAGTTACTGGGGATATGCTATCCAATTGGCGAGTAAAATATAGCATCCCTAGTATAGTAGAGATGATAATCCTAGAGCCATCGGACTGAGCTGATGCTCCTCCCATGGGTTGCATGGCTTTAAACTCGACCATTTTGAATGTCGGCCTTAGACTACCCTTTCCTAGGGTTATCCGTAAATTCATTTCTTCTTGGGGAATAGCCCCTACCCATTTGTGTCCTAATGGGTGGGGGACATTGATAGCCACCTTGATCTCCTGGCATCAATCAAAGAAACCTGAACTTATCGTAGAACAATTCAATTTTCTTTTCACTTTTAAAGAGGACGGGAAGCACTCGGGCTGGTGGTATACCAGCGAGGCCTAGGACTGAGGGCTCTTTGGTGTTGATACTCCTTCCTCGATCAAGCAGTGGAAGGAAGAATTCTTTTATGAGTTGGGAGATTGGCAGTTTCACCCTGTCAAGGTGGATAGAGAGGACGTGGTCCCAACTCTCTATCACACATTGTGTAAGTGAAAGTCCTATCATCTTTTAACCGAATTGCTCAGTTATATGTTTCTGACCCCTTTGTTTTGGCCTTTCGTAGTTTATAAGAAGGCACCACTTACCTCGGCTACTATGCGGAGAGTGGGGGCAATCAGAGCTTTACCTAAGAGGCAGAGGTCTTGTAAGTTTTTGATTTTCGACACAATTTGTTCCAAATAGGGCGTCCCATCTGCTAGTTTTGACTTCAGCGACCATTCCTCCCTCTTAGCTTCTTCCAATACGTAATGTCCCACAAATGCTTCATCTCTCTCATTCTTAAGTATTTGAATTTTCACTATTCTATAACACATGTTATCTCACTTTTTGAATATATTTCTTTACATTTTCTCAAGTCGTGACGCGAATATGTCGAGCTATAAGACAGCAAAAGTGACAATCGTGAAGAAAGGGAAATAGGTGGAGGCTCAGGTTGAGGTTGCCTAGTCTGAGGAGGCCGAAGTTGAGAAGATCCAGCCTGTAAAACGAACTCGCGTAGAATCATAATCATTTACACCTGTGGCTCTATCCCCCTTAATGCCCCTCCTGTTGGAGCTACACATCCCTCGTCTTCCCTCTATAACATTGCTGCGAGTTAATCGAGGTTGCAAGAAAGGTGCCCCGACCTTCAAAGATCTAGTATGGAAGGTCTTTTAAGGCGTTGTCCTAAGATCTTCCTTCATTTTCTTCTTGCGCCTTTTCTCCAGCTTGGGAGGCCACTGTAATTCTTCTCCCTCCTTTTCGCGAGTCAGTAAACCTTCTCATTAGGAGTTGGAATGAGAGAGAGCAGAGCTATCTGGCTAAGATGCCGGTTGGAGAGGTGATTATTTTTGCTTAACTCCACAGTCATAGATCGATACTGTATATGATGTCAGTTGCTTATAAGGTATGCTTTCTTGGAATCCAATAGAGAGTTTGGACTTATGTTATCGATTTTAATTCTAGTTCTACTTTCACTGTTCAGGTGAAGGCTGAACTTGACAAAATGCACGAGGCTAGGGATCAAGCCATAAATCTCTATGAAAGCCTTGACTTGGAGATGGTGAAGTTAGCTGAGAAAGAGAATGAGTACATAGATCGGCTGAATAAGATGGGGGTGAAGTTGGAGGCCAAGTCCGCTTTCGAGCTCAGGCTTCTTGATGACAACGAAGCCCTTAAGGTGAGGGGGGAGGGGGCTACTGAGAGGGTGACTGCTGATAAGAAGAAAGCTGAGGAAGAATGCGCCCGAGCTAATGAATTTGAGAAGAGGGCTGAAATTGCAACAATATGAGCAGAACATGCTGAGGCTAGTGTTTTTGAAGCTGTGGAGGCTTGGAGGGCCTCTTCTGAGTTTGATGCTCTCGTCCAAGATGCCTATGTGGCTGCCTTGGAAGAATTGATCAAGCATATTGGCAAGGAGAGGCTGGACTTCGATGAAGCTTTCTTAGTGGATGCCTTGGAGGAGAAGAAGGAAGAGTTGCAGAAGCTGTTGGAAGTGATGGGAGTTCGTATCTCCCTTACTGAGAAGGATGTCGAGGGAAATGCCCTTGATCCTCGAGACCTTCCTACTCCTTAAGCCCCCCAGTACCCTTTCGAACAGTGTACATTTGTTTGTTGGTTGTTTGATAAGCTTGATGTATTTCAGTATACTCTCGAACTGTAAATTTTGAATGTGCTGATCAATTGGACTTTCTTTCCCCATTATTGCAATTGTTCTTACACATATGTCTATATTACACACACACACACACACACACATATATATATATATGTGTGTGTGTCTGTGTGTGTGTATTTTTATTATATTGTTAG